TGGCATCCTGCTACAGGGTGCTGAGAGGGTTTCCTTGGGGGGGGGTGACCTGTTGGTGTTGGCAGATCTTGGATTAGCTAAACTGCACGAGGGCGAGGAGCACTTGCCGCACGACGCGAACTGGGCGTGTTGGAAAACGAACAGGCGCGGGGTGAGCCTCGACGTCCGCCCACTGCCAAGGAGGCGAAAGAGGCCATTCATGGCGCCTCCCCCTCTGCCTTTTCCATCGCTTCCCCCACACACATACGATGTACAGTTCTTTTGCTTTTGTGTGCCCGCTTGCTCATCTCGAGGAGTGCCACACTGGAAACGCCACGTCCTCGGTTGTCCTCGGTCCGTGGTTTCTCATACTTGTTTGAGCGAGCCCTGGGTCATACAGGGACCCGTGAATGGGAGCCCATGCATCGAGAACCCTTCGAGATAAACAGTTCTGACACTCTGCTGCTACCCATAGAGAGTGGTGTTCTTTTTGGGTTTTTTAAATCTTTTGTTGCTTGAGCTGCAACAAGCCACGGGCTGTTGAGGACTGAAGGTAGGAAGGAGATGCTTCCTGATGGCTGCAGCCTGCCGTGTGGAAGACACTTGAAAATGCCTCTACCTGGTGACCTTCCTGTGTATTGTCATGTGGTATAGGTAGACCCATGCCCCACGGTCCATCTATCGCTTCTTAGCTGCTGCCAGGTATTCACCCAAGTCATTTAGTGGTGAGGGCTCCAGCCTGACTATTGGCCGTCAATGAATTGCTGACTCCCGAGAGGTCGGTCCAGGCAGCCTCCACATGGCGACTCCCCACCACGAGGACTGGTCCTGCGAGGCGACAGAGGGCGTTTGCTCTGCACAAAGCAAGCACCGTCGTGCCAGCTGATGATGTAGGGCTGGAAATGGGCCCGTGATCAAGTGGCGGTTGGGGGAGTGAGTGGCCCGAATGACCTGCAGCCCGGATCGTTCCCATGTGGGGTGCAGCTGTGTCAAAAAGAATTAACCCCCCTTGGGCTTTGTGGCGCCCCGTGCTGTTTGGTGTAGTGGTTAAGAGTGGCTGACTCTAATCTGGAGAACCGGGTTTGATTCCTCACTCCTCCTCCACATGCAGCCAGCTGGCCGACCTTGGGTCAGTCCCAAGGTCTCTCGGAGCTGTTCTTTCAAGGGCAGTTCTCTCAGAGCTCTCTCAGCCCCACCTTACCAGACAGGGTGTCTGTTGTGGGGATAGGAGGAGAAGGAGATTGTCTGAGACTCCCAAGTGAAGGGTGTGGGGTATAAATCCAATCTCTTCTTCTTCTTCCAGAATGGGAGAACAGATTCCTCCCCATCTGGGGGTGTTTCCAGCAACTGGCTGAAATCTGTTTTTGGGGGCGTGGTGTGTGAAGGGGGAGGGAATGAGGAATGTCTTGGATCTAGAAACTTTACCTTAGGTTTCATTAAGATTTATTTATTTATTTATTTATTTATTTCCATTTCTTCCCCGCACGCAGGCTCAGGGCGGCTTACAAGGCACAAGTGCTATAAAACCAAATACATAAAAAACAGCATAAATTACAACTTACAAGATACATGGAGGACTAAAATTACATTTTCTCCATTACATGACAGGAAGAGGTCTGAGGTTGAAATCAGAAGGGAGAGGGGCGGCCTAAGCCGTGTTGTTCCAATTTCTCATAGGCCTACCCTGACAGTCCTGCTTCCGCATACATGCGGTGGTGGTAGTGGCGGCGGCGGCCCCTATTCAAAAGCCTGGCGGAAGAGCTCCGTCTTACAGGCTCTGCGGAACTGTAAAAGGTCCCGCAGAGCCCTGATCTCCTCTGGGAGCTCATTCCACCAGATAGGGGCCGCCACCGAAAAGGACCTGGCCCTTGTGGTAGCTAGCCTGGCCTCTTTTGGGATGTGGATATGCTCTGTGTATTCTCCTGTATTTCCCCCCCCCCCCCCCAATGTTGTCGTCACAGCAATTGAACTCTCCTTGGGCTCAAAAATCACTTTTCAGTTTGGGAAAAAGGAACAGTGGTGTTTTTGAGTTTTTTTGGCTATCTGTGGCTCAGGGGTCGAGCCTCTGCTTGGCATGCAGAAGGTCCCAGGTTCAATCCCCGGCATCTCGAGTTAAAAGGGCCAGGCAGGAGGTGATGTGGGAAGCCTCGACTAAGACCCTGGAGAGCCGCTGCCAGTCTGAGTGGACACCGCTGACCTTGCTGGACTGGTGGTCTGATTCGGCATACAGCAAGCGTCACGCGTTCACGCGCAGGAGACATCGGTCAGCCCCTTGAGGCCGCCTAGACCGTCGAACACCGCAACTCTTGAGGTGCCCCCTCAGAACTCCGTATTGCTTCCTGAGGCTCTGTACAGACAAAGATAGCCAACAAGGCCCAGTGAAGCCACAAGAACAAAAGTCCCCTTAGAGAGTTAAATAGAGGGGCGGGCAGCTGAGTAGGCCGAGCCAAAGCAGAAGGCGGGTTGTGGCCAAGCATAGAATCGTAGGATGTTAGAGTTGGAAGGGACCTTGCAGGTCATCTAGTCCAACCCCCTGCACTCTGCAGGAGCATAGCCGAAAGATAGCCCTACAACATACCCAAAAGGTGGTCATCCAGCCTCCGCTTGAAAACGTCCAGTGAAGGAGCATCCACCACCTCCCGAAGCAGTCTGTTCCACTGCTCAACCACTCTGACAGTCAGGAAGTCTCTCCTGATATTTAGCTGGTAACGACCCCCTTGTAATTTCCACCCATTAGATCTAGTCTTGCAACCCGGAGCAAGAGAGAATAGATCCCCTCCATCTTCTACATGACAGCCCTTCAAGCAGAGTCAGCGGTGGGCCATGTGCTGCTCTGCCGTGCTTTTCCCCTTTGCCCTGAGGTGCGGTTTCTCCTCGCCTGCTCTAGGAAACCGACGAGGGTGTCGGCCGCGCTCCGTGCCACAGCTGGGCCCCTTCCTCCCGAGTGCCCAGGGCACCCAGTTGACAGAGTACAGCCGTGCATGGAATGCAGATAGTGGTGATCTTTGAATGAAAGGGCTGGAAACAGAAAAGCATTCAGGAAGGCTATAACCAGACCGCTGGACTGCATGCCGTGGTGTTTAACTGGGACCTCTTCTCGCTTACCTGTTGGGAAGGTCTGCCACGCCCCTGGCTTAAAGCGCCGGTGACATTGTTGGGCAGATGCTCGCTTCCGCCCTGGATGGTACTCTAAACTTCTGCATCTGTCATATACCGTTTGCTGGTGGGGGGGTCTCGGTGTTGCATGCCGTATAAATGCCTCCTCTCTTGTGTTTCTCCCCCCCCCCCTTTTAACCCGTCCCGACTGACCTTTCTGAAGCCCTTCCTCCCCGTCACGACATCTCCCGCCTTCATGTTTCCATCATTCTGAGGCCTTCTTTTTCTCTCTTCCCTCTCGGCCATCTTCTCTCTCCCAGCTGTCTGCCGCTTCCAGCCCATCCACTCAGAGGCCTCACAGCGCTTCCGGAAAGGATCCTTTTGCGGAGGTCTCTCTCCAGGATTTCTTGTAAAAACCAACTTAGGTATTGCATGCCGACTCCGTGGGTGCACCGGCGGCCTCGAGTTTCCCCATACAAGGCAGCTAGAGCGGGCGCGGCCGCCTTGTATGTCTTTCCACCTCAGTCTGAACCATGTTCATTTTGACATTAAACTGGAGACAACTGGGTCCTTCTGTTAACCCTTGCATGCGGTTTGACTTCAGAAATCACGGTATGGGATGCAGCAGCTTGAGTAGAGTCCTGAGAGGAGCTTTTGATTTCATTTAAGACTTCTGATGGCAGAATGGGGGGGGAGGGGGGGAGAATCTGGAAACCCTCGCTGAAAACTGAGGCGTCCCCCCGTGGAGAGATTCTGGGTGTGGGTAGTTGTAGGGCGGGGGAGTGGGCTTCCGTAAATCAGAGGGATGATTCCTGAGCAAGGTGCTCCCAGAATGGAAATTTCCTCCTCTCTTCCCCCCCCCCCCCCGGGGTGGGGAGAAGGTAAGAGAATCTGCGTGGGCCATGCCAGTGTAGGCAGAACACACGCAGACAGGGCTATTTTTGGGCAGGAACGCACAGGAATGGAGTTCTGGCTGGCTCCCAAGTTGGCCACGCCCAGCAGGAACTCATTAGCATAATAGGCCACACCCAAGATCAGAAACTCATTAGGATTGGCTACATTAGGGGTGTGTGGCCTAACATGCAAAGGAGTTCCTGCTACAGAAAAGCCCTGGGTTTTGACAACAGACAAGGTAAACAGAATAACAAGCAAAAGGTGGGTGTGGCTGGATAACCACACTTCTGGTAACATGGGGGGTGCGGCCTAATGTGCTAATGAGCTGTGCTGTCGGGGGTGTGGCCTAATATGCTAACGAGTTCCTGCTGTTGGGTGTGGCCTATTATGCTAATGAGTTCCTGCGGTGCTTTTTCTACAAAAAGAGCCCTGCACGCAGACAATGGGTAGTTGCGCAATTCATTCCTGTCCGTTTGCCCGAGTCCCAGCCAGCGGAAGGGTCTTCAGCTCTGTGGCAGGGCTTGTGCTCCGTGAGGGTCTCGAGTCCCGTCTCTCCACGAGAAGAACGTCAGGACCGGGGAAGACCTCCGTAAGACCCTGGATGCTGCTGCTGAAGTTCTGGGGAATACTGTGCTGGGGTGGGAGGCAACCCGATGGCTTTGACTCGCTCTAAGACAGCTGTGTGCATATAGTACGTAGGTGACGTTCACCTGTGAGACTAGACTTCCGCTACTGATAGGTAAAGTTTCAAGGGGAGAGGACTTGGTGCCTTGAGACTGGCCGTCTTCGACTAATCAGACTCAAGAATCTGGGATAAAAATCCCAGACTGATGGACGGGGGCAGGGGCGGGGCTTTTTTCTTCTTCCTTGTACTTGAGACTGTGGTGATGTCGCTACATCAGCCACCTTTAGAGCCCTTATTCCGTTTGTAAGCCTTTGACTAGTCGGCGATGTTTTTTCTTCGGGGAGGGGCGGAGGGAGGCGTTCATCGCGTGCAGAGAGATAACGTTAATGCTGTCTTGTCTCCTTAGATACAGTTCATGTAACCGTGCCAGATCGAGGGAGTGAGAAGAGTTCCAGAAAGACCCACGCGCTCAGCGGCCGACACCAGCCTTCCTTCCAGCCGCGTCAAAAACCGATGTCTCTTAAGCTCTCCTCTTCCTTTAGACCAATGCAGTAAAAAATCACAAAAGGCCCGCGGGAGTGGTGGGGGCGCCACTCTAGGTAAGCCGTGGTCCCCCCACTGCACTGAATATAAAGCCAAGAATTGCCACAGTTTTGGTGTAGGATCTTTTTTTTTCTTTTCTCCCCCTCCCTTCCCCCCGGTGACTTAACACATCGGTAGTTACCACAGTCTGAGAACACACACACACACAAAAAAGAAGCGTCTTACTCCGCTAAGAAGGGTAAAAACACGCATTTGGAGCTGCTGTTTGGAATGAAGAGCCTGAGCACCATCTTTTACCGCTAACGCCAACGACTTCTTTCTCTAGGGGAATCGAATCCTAAGTCTAATTTTCCAGCTTTTTCCGGTCATCATCAATATTAGGCTCTCAATAACGAAAAGATTAACTTAAAAAGGAAAAAAAGAAGAGAGAATTATATATTCCGTTGCATAGACATTCCTTTATGTATTATTTGTATTTATTTATGGTTATTGATTTTAAGTAACGTCGTTATCACGAAGCCCTCCTTTGTGGAGCAAAAAATGTGTCTGTGGATGTATACAGTATGTCTCCTCCTAGGGTTTATTATTCCCCCCCCCCCTTTCCATCCACAAGAACGATTCGACGCGCATCCTCACCCACCAGTACACGCACCCCAGACACACGGAGCACGGAGCACGTTCCCAGGTTTGAAAAACACCGACGAACCTCCCTGGGCACTGGAGGTGTTGTCCTCATAAACTGTCGGTTCCGCTACAGATTTTGGGCAGGGGGAGGGGGGAGCAACCCGACCGGCTTGGAGGAGCACGGGGATCACTCGCCTAGGTGTCGGCGGCTTCAGGAGCGAACTTTTCCTTGCTTTGTGCTTGGCATGTAATTATCTTACACTCGACATAAACGGCCTTTCCAAAATGAATGTGAGGAATTGCTTTCACTTTTAAAGACTTTCCTTCTCTGTACAAACAACAAAAACACACCTTTTGAGGTATTTCGGGGGGGTGGGTGAATTGAATAAGGCCTTGATTCTTCCCTTCGTTTGGCTGGGGCCGTGCCCACAATCATGTACTGTGGAATAGATTAAATTCTCAAAAGGGAAGTTGCATCTTGAAGGGCACGATCCATTGGGAAATTCTCCTGCGTCGTTCTCCTGTTGAATGGGGGGGGGGCTTGGTGCAGGAAGTCCCCCCCCCCGCCCCCCCCTCTCTCTTAATTGTGTAGGTATCCTAATTTTTCTGCAGAAATCAGAAGCAGCGCTGTTGACCAGCGCTTTCGTGTAAATACGTCATTCCGGTTTTAGATGGCGAGACGGGGCCTTAAGAAGGACAAGTCGAAGGCATGAAAGCAATTCTGTACATGAACTTTAAGCATCCTTGCTGCATTGTCTCCGCAGATTCTATTTTTGTTTAAAATGTTGAAATGTATGTTAGCAAAAAAAAGAAGTGGATTTTCAAATAAAATGCAGCTTCCACAGACCTTTTTGTTATGGTACGGAGGTCCGAAATGGTGATTCATTTGCCCTGTAGGGGGAGCCTGCTGTTTTTGATGGGTGAAATAAAAATCTCAGGGGGGGGGGGCGAGGTATTACTGGCAAGTCCACATTTTGCTTTTTTCCCTTGCTCCCCTCCCCCCATGCCTTTCCTTTGTGCCAGCTGTGAGCTTGGGAATTCAAGCTAGGTTAACAAGCTTGAGAATGGCTTGCTTGTAGAGCCAGTCTGGTGCAGTGGTTAGGAGCACGGACTTTAGTCTGGGAGAACAGGGTTTGATTCCCCACTCCTCCACATGGTAGCTGCAGGCGTGACCTTGGGTCAGTCACAAGTTCTCTCAAGAGCAGTTTTCAGTCAGAGCTCTCTCAGCCCCACCTACCTCACCAGGGTGTCTGTTGTGGGGAGGGAAAGGGAGTTTGTAAGCCGCTCTTGAGACTCCTTTGAGTGAAGGGTGGGGTATAAATCCAATCTCGACCTTTTTTTGTTTCTCTAGATGTTAATTATCTGCTGACCTTTTAAATTTGATTACACCCCCCCACCCACCCAAATCCTGTGGTCAGAATGAACCATGAGCAGTGCAGAGAACTTGCCCTTTTCAGAGGGTGAAGTCTGGACTGTCCCCAGGGGTGCACTTCCCCAAGCCTGGAGCATCTGAGACTTCGCCATTGTCCACAGTGTGGGGGGGGGGGATATCTGCGTTTGGGCTGTGGGTAGGGCTGAACAACACACAGAAACAAGACAGTATTTAGAAGAACCGTCAGATTGTAATACCTGCCCTGGCATACATGCTCCTTCCATCTGGCTGTCTGCGTTGTCAGTAGGGTAATCGCTTCCAGTCCCCTTTCAGAACTTTTACTGCCACAGGAGGTGGTGGCAGCTCCACGGCTTCAAAAGGGAACTGGGTAAACATCTGGAGCAGAGGTCCATCAGTGGCCATTAGCCACAAGGTATAGATAGGAACTCTCCTCTGGGGCAAGGGATGCTCTGTATTCTTGGTGCTTGGGGGGGGGGGCAAAAGGGGGAGAGGGTTTTTGGGTCTTGGCCCCACTGCTGGACCTCCTGATGGCACCTGGTATTTTTGGCCACTGTGTGATACAGAGTGTTGGACTGGATGGGCCATTGGCCTGATCCAACTCTGGCTTCTCTTCTGTTCTTAAAAAGGCAAGCATTACTACTTAAGCCATGCTTGGGATGTAGTGCCGCAAGAAGTGGTGGCAGCTAGAAGCATAGACAGCTTCGAGAGGGAATTGGATAAACAGATGGAGCAGAGTTCCATGAGTGGACGCTAGCCACAAGGTCTGGACGGAACATTCTGGGGCAGTCATGCTGTGTATTCTTGGTGCTTGGGGGGCAACAGTGGGAGGGCTTCTGGAGTTCTGGCCCTGCTGGTGGACCTCCCGATGGCCTCTGGGTTTTAGCCATTGTGTGACACAGTGTTGGACTGGTTGGGCCATTGGCCTGATCCAGCAATGGCTTCTCTTATGTTCTTAAGTGTTGGTTCTGGTGTGTCAGTCTTTTGCATACTACAGCTCTTCTTGTACTGTTCTTCTGTGACCTGTGGATGCACTGGGGTTGCTGATATACTACTGCATCCATTCCACCAGCGAACAACCTGGCTTGGCCTTTCCCTGCTTTTGTTTACACCAAGCAGTTTTGTTTCTTGTAACAAGAAAAATAATTAGCTGCCTCTCTCCTTTGTGGAACCATGAGGTGGCTTACTCAGTGTTCCCTCTAAGCTGAGTGAGTGTGAGCCAGCCCACCGTTTCTTAGCCTCTGGCTCACACACTTTTGCCTTGGCTCAGGGAGGAGGGCTCCAGAGCCGACTAATTGATGCAGCGGCCCAATCACTCGCTCACAACTTTAACGCCAGTGGCTCGCAAAGTGGAATTTTTGCTCACAAGTCTCCACAGCTTAGAGGGAACATTGCTTACGATATAAATAAAATGATTATTAAAAACAAAAAAGTCACAATAAGCAAAAGCAGGTTCAGCCATAGCCTCTCAGTAAGGCAGGAGTCCCTTGCCCACGGGTTTTAAATGCTCAGGCACGTCGTCATCCATATTCCCCTACTGATGGAATGACTGGTCTTCTCTGACGCTAGTCCTGCACAAGCAAGAGCCCTGGGTTGAGTTATGAGAGCCAGTTTGGTGTAGTGGTTAAGTGCACGGACTTTAATCTGGGAGAACCGGGTTTGATTCCCCACTCCTCCACTTGCACCTGGCTGGATGGCCTTGGGCAAGCCACAGTTCTGATAAGAGCTGTTCTCGAAAAAGAGCCGTTTCTGTTGAGAGCTCTCTCAGCCCCGCCTACCTCACAGGGTGTCTGTTGTGGGGAGGGGAAGGGAAAGGAGTTTGTAAGCCGCTCTGAAACTCCCTTGGGTAGTGAAGGGCAAGGTATAAATCCAATCTCCTCTTCTTTTTCTTCTTATGGTGTGAGGCTTTTATTTGTGTCTTCCACAATTCTGACTGAATTGAGGGATCAAGAGCTCTTGAAAAGGGGGAGCGTATTATCTAGAGCCCTTGGCTCCTCAGCTCACAGTTGCTACGGTCCATCCCCTGGTTTATTTGACCCTCAACCATCTTTCTGGCTCCTCCTCAGCACAGGTAGAAGCTGGAATACAACCCTGCCTTCGGAGGAAACCAACTCTTAAGGCTTAGAGGGAAGAGAGAGAGCGAACACCGCTGCCATCTCCGGCATCCTTTTTGCCTTATGAAACCCACCAGACCTCATGCCTGTTGAACTGGGAGAGAGGAAGCAGTAACCATTCCACATTCCCTTGCCAATGAGTAAAGAGAGTTAACCCCTTTGGGCATTATAGCAATATACATTTGCTAGGAGAGCAGAAAGGTCCGTGGTAGGTGCTTTCAGGTGACCAGAGGAACATCAGTAAACTGGGAGTCACTGAACAGAATTAAAAGTCCTGCCACCCATCGCAACTTCAATTCTTTCTCCTTGCTGCCTCTGCCCCAGTAAAGTGTCTGCGGTTGTGCCTTTGAAGTGAGTGGCCTCAAAGAGGCACCAAATCCCTGCCAAAAATTGTCTTAACTTGAAAAGTGCACCATGGTTATGTTCATTCAGACACAGTGCTTTTCATGTGAATGCCCACATGGCGTAAGGCCAAAGACTCTCTGATAAGTGCCTTCTGTCCTCTGTCTGACCTGGATAGCCCAGTCTAGCCCAATTTCGCCAGATCTCGGAAGCTAAGCAGGGTCGGCCCTGGCTAGAATTTGGATGGGAGACCTCCAAGGAATACCAGGGGTGTGACACAGAGACAGGCAATGGCGAACCACCTCTGAATGTCTCTTGCCTTGAAAACCCTACGGGGTTGTCATAAATCAGCGGCAACCTGATGGCACTTTCCACCACAACACCACATCTATCCTACACGGGATGTGGACAACCAGATCATGCCCTAAGATGTCTCTTCCTTTTCTCTCTCCCCTACGTGTGTCCTTATGGGAGAACTTGGGAGTCTGTAAGCTACTGCGTGCCATTTTTGTTGCTTTTAACAAAGGAGATTATATGGCTCATGCTTCAGATTTTCCTTTGGGCTGACCTGGAGCTGCTACGAGAGATCTTCACGGATTTCTTTGTCGCTCCGCTTGGGTCACTGCCTCCCCTGCGGTGGGGACAATACTAAGCTTACAGGATTGTGGTAGAAGATGCTGAGATGGTGTAAGTGAAGGATTTTATCAGCTAATGAAGTTTCGCACATGCAGCTCTGGGAAGCCAGATTTACTCTTTTGGGAGAACAAAAACACAGAACCAGCAGTACAAATCGTATCAGATTCTGCAGTGTTTGCATGTGTTGACGTGTGTCCTACTGGATTCAAGATTATAAACGGTCAATAATAATGTGCCATTGAGTCACAGCCAACTCACAGCGACCCCATAAAGTTCCAGCTCGAGGGGTTTTCAAGGCAAGGTTTGCCATTGCCTTCCTCTATGTAGCAGAGCCAACGTGGTGTAGTGGTTATTAAGAGCGGCAGAATCTGGAGAACCAGGTTTGATTCCCCACTCCTCTGCCACATGAGGCCTGCTGGGTGACCTTGGGCCAGTCCCAGTTCCCTTAGAACTCTCTCAGCCCCACCTGCCTCACAAGGTGCCTATTGTGGGGAGAGGGAGGGAAGGTGATTGTCAGCCGCTTTGAGACACGAGGCCTGCTGGGTGACCTTGGGCCAGTCACGGTTCCCTCAGAACTCTCTCTGTCCCACCTACCTCACAAGGTGCCTATTATGGGGAGAGGGAGGGAAGGCGATTGTCAGCCGCTTTGAGACACATGAGGCCTGCTGGGTGACCTTGGGCCAGTCCCAGTTCTCTCAGAACCCTCTCAGCTCCACCTGTCTCACAAGGTGCCTATTGTGGGGAGAGGGAGGGAAGGTGACTGTCAGCCACTTTGAGACACATGAGGCCTGCTGGGTGACCTTGGGCCAGTCGCGGTTCCCTCAGAACTCTCTCTGTCCCACCTACCTCACAAGGTGCCTGTTGTGGGGAGAGGGAGGGAAGGCAATTGTCAGCCGCTTTGAGACACATGAGGCCTGCTGGGTGACCTTGGGCCAGTCCCAGTTCTCTCAGAACTCTCTCAGCTCCACCTGTCTCACAAGGTGCCTATTGTGGGGAGAGGGAGAGAAGGTGACTGTCAGCCGCTTTGAGACACATGAGGCCTGCTGGGTGACCTTGGGCCAGTCACGGTTCCCTCAGAACTCTCTCTGTCCCACCTACCTCACAAGGTGCCTGTTGTGGGGGGAGGGAGGGAAGGCGATTGTCAGCCGCTTTGAGGCACATGAGGCCTGCTGGGTGACCTTGGGCCAGTCCCAGTTCTCTCAGAACTCTCTCAGCTCCACCTGTCTCACATGGTGCCTATTGTGGGGAGAGGGAGGGAAGGTGACTGTCAGCCGCTTTGAGACACATGAGGCCTGCTGGGTGACCTTGGGCCGGTCACGGTTCCCTCAGAACTCTCTCTGTCCCACCTACCTCACAAGGTGCCTTTTGTGGGGAGAGGAAGGAAAGGTAATTGTAAGCAGCTTTGAGACTCCTTATGGTAGACAAAAGTGGGGGTATAAAAACCTCTTCTCCATCTTCTTTGGTGGTTTTCCATCCAGATACCAGCTGTGGCTGACCCTGCTTAGCTTTCCAAACTGACAAGATCAGGCTGAGCTGAGCTATATACAAAAGCCAGCATGGTATAGTGGTCAAAGTGTCGGACTAGGATCAGGGAGACCCGGGTTCGAATCCCCCCTCATGCCATGGAAGCTGACTGGGTGACTTTGGGCCAGTCACACTCTCAACCTAACCTACTTCACATGGTTGTTGCGAGAAAAAGATCCCAACTGGAGGGAAAAGAGGATATAAATAAATAAGATCAGGATAAAAGCTGAGCTCCTTGGGCCGCCGCAAACTGTGGCAAGACACGGCACGCGTTCTTACTAATGCATCCAACTGAAATCTGTTTAATATAAGCCAACCGCCACCGTCGCAGGCAAGCTGTGCCTCAGCGACCTGAAACTCATGTGCTTTCTTTTAAAACAAAACAAAACACAAGTCTCTACCTTCTGTCTCAAGGAAACACAGACTTGATCATCTGGTAGGTGATGCGCTGGAATGCCCTGCTGCTGTCGAACCTCTCTTCGAGCTGGGTTCTGCTGGGCATTTCTTTGATGTCTTCGTGAAGGGGCACGGCTCGGCCGACCATGCTCATGAGCTTTACCTCCAAAGGCCCCAGGTCGGTGTATTCCTGGAGTTAACGATGAAGGAAAAAGCAAGTTCGTAGCGAACACTCTCGGGAGAGGTCGGACAAAGAAGGGGGCTTTAGCTCTCAAACGTTTACACCCTGAAAGTCTCGTTGGTTTCTAAGGTGCTACCGGACTAGTACCTGGCTGTTCTACTGCAGGCAGGCTTACCAGTTGGAAGGGATCTCTGGCGGGGTCAGCTAGCCCAACCCCCTTTTCCATCTTGGTGAGCCGGTGGACGGAGGATTCAGCGGGCGACTTCTTGAGCCACCAACACGAGGGAAAAGATGGACTTTGAGGGGTGGCAAACGGTGAAGGAGGGGAAAGCTAATGGTTTGGACTTTAAAAGATCACCGCTCTGTTGCGTTACTAAGATCCCAAGTTTTTGTTACACGATGCGATGTGCAGTGGAAAGTTAAAAAAACGTTTTATTCTCTCTGAATGATCGCAGGATTCATTCCCAGTTCTGCCCCCACAGAACCCCCAAACTGAAATTATTTATTTATTTATTCAATCCAATTTATTTATTTATTTATTTTGACCGCCCATTCTTGTAAGACGGGGCTCGGGGCGCTGTACATCAGAAAACTCTGACATAAATAGGATAAAATATTAAAATCATAGAAATCTACAATAACTTTCCAATCAGATGGCAATGAAACTGCCATAGTCTGCCACAGCCTCATGTGGGGAGGTAGGCAAGGAAGTAGGAGCGCCAGCCAGATGGGAAACTATTGAGACGGAAACTCGTCAAGGTTTACGCAGTCTTTCCCTCAAGTTCAGCCAGTGGCTTTCTTGATCCGAGACCGTAATGCAGCTCCAGGCAAGGGTCTCTGCCATGGCATACCTCTTCTTGCGCCGTTGCTGAAAAGGGGCCGGCAGATGCCACCCGTCGGCTGTAAATCATGGTGGGCCGTGGGAGCTGTGGTGTCCGCCAACACCTTTTTGGGTGCCTGCCAGATGTTTTTAGAAAGTGGGTAGGGGCAGGCGGAACTTTTGCCCAGCGAGGCTTTTGATTGGCCACGGGAGCTTTGATTGGCTGTGCTGCGGCTGCCACCACAGCACGAGGGTCTTCACTCTGTGCATGAAGGTAAGCTGCACTAGGCACTGCATGGCTGGCTCCGCCTCCTGCGACAGTCATTTTTTGGCTGTGCCCACCACGCTGTGTCACGATTCCGAGGGGGGCAGCTGGCTAAAAAAGGCTGGGGACCCCCGGACCAGCGTTCCCTCTCAGCTGAGTCGGTGGGAGCCAGCTCACAGTTTTTTAGCCTCCGGCTCACACATTCTTACCTTCGCTCAGGAAGAAGGATGGCTCCGGAGAGCAGACTGATTTATGCAGCAGCCAAATTGCTCTCTCACAGCTTTCGTGCCAGGAGCTCACAGAGTAGGATTTTTGCTCACAAGACTCCACAGCTTAGAGGGAGCATTACGCCTGGACTAGTGGAAACCAGGTTCTCTAATCCCCAAGATACAAAAAGACAGATATTGCTGTGTATGTTCATCAAATTTTCAATTTTCCAAGTTGTATTTTGTTTTTCAGATACATCAAACAACTCAATAAGAACACAGTCTTCAGAAGAAGAAGAAGGACGGACCTTCCCAGGCTTTCTGTAGTCCGTTTCGAACAATATCTTTCTCAGATGTCAATTCATGTTGTCTATAGTGTTCTTACAATTCCAATCTTGACTGTATATGTGGTGTTTACAAAAGTTCAGTAACAGCTGCTCATAGCTCTATTGTCTACCGGTCTCCATTCAGGATTATATGCATATAATCCTGAATGGAGACCGGTAGACAATAGAGCTATGAGCAGCTGTTTCTGAACTTTTGTAAACACCACATATACAGTCAAGATTGGAATTGTAAGAACACTATAGACAACATGAATTGACATCTGAGAAAGATATTGTTCGAAACGGACTACAGAAAGCCTGGGAAGGTCCGTCCTTCTTCTTCTTCTCTTCTGAAGACTGTGTTCTTATTGAGTTGTTTGATGTATCTGAAAAACAAAATACAACTTGGAAAATTGAAAATTTGATGAACATACACAGCAATATCTGTCTTTTTGTATCTTGTGCCACTCTAATTGCTGGATCCTTTATAATTTCTTGTATCTCTAATCCCCAAGACAAGGGGGGTTCTTTTTTCAAACACTCAAATTTCAGCGGCACAACTCCCGATTCATCCTGGGGCCGGGAGGAGAGGGGAGGGGGCGGAACTCTTCCCTACCTTGAAGTCCCCTGTGTCTTCGTACAGGAGCGGAGGGAGGAACTGGGAGGCCGTTTGCCCTCGCAGGTAGACCAGCTCGGAAGGATCCTCGGACTGCCCCTCTCCTTCCTCTCCCTCCTGGTCCAGGTCCGTGGCGAAGATGATTTCGGAGGTGGAGGCCAGCGAGTCCATTTCGTAGGAGGGGGTGATGGCTGCGGTCTCCTTTACCTCCTTTACCTTTGGATACAGCAGGGAAGAGACCTGGAAGGAGGCCCCTTGCCCTGTGGGGATGAAAACAGTCACCTCATTCATTGATTCATTCATTCGACATATAACCTGCACCCTCTCCTCAACCAAGGACTTGGGGTGGTTCACAGCATACACAACACAACGTTAAAACTTAAATATAGACAATAAAGCCATAAAGGTAAAAGGTAAAGGTTCCCTTGCCCAAAAGCCAGTCGAGTCCGACTCTACGGTTGCGGTGCTCATCTCCGTTTCAGAGCCGAAGAGCCAGCGCTGTACGAAGACGTTTCCGTGGTCATGTGGCCGGCATGACTAAACACCAAGGCGCACGGAACGCCGTTACCTTCCCACTGAAGTGGTACCTATTGATCTACTTGCAATGTCTTGCTTTTGAACTGCTAGGTTGGCAGGAGCTGGGACCAGAGACGGGAGCTCACTCCGTCATGCGGCACACTCGGGTCTTGAACTGCTGAACTACTGACCTTCCACAGCCTGCAGTTCAGCGTCTTAACCACTTGAGCCACCGCAGCTCCTGAAAGCCATAAAACTGATAGATAAATAAAACCTGCAAAATAAATACAATAAAACTAAAATTAACCGGTCATCAGCTCTGGAAGAAATCTGGACAGCCAGGCGGCTCACACGTTCTCTTAGTTAATTAACAACGTGTCCCTATGTGTAGCTGCTCCAGTAAGTAGTCAACTGAAGTTAATGGGCTTAGACTAGAGTAATTCTGCCTTAGATTGAACTGTAAATGCTGCATGAAACAAGGCGGCCTTGCATGCCCTTGTTGCTGTTAAGTTGCACAGTCGGGTCCGAACCTTAATAAAATCCTGCAGGGCGTGAACCTCCTCAGGGAGCTGGTTCCAGGGGGCAGGGGCAGCCACCGAGAAGGCCCTGGCCCTAGCGGATGACAAATGAGCTATTCATGGACCAGGTACCCGCAGTAGGCCCCGTGATGACAACCCAAGGGGTGAGGCAGGGGGAGCTCACCTGTCCGACATCACATTTCTGTCCAACAGTTCAGCCTCCTTTGCCTCTTTTCACCCCTCAAAACAGGAAAACTAGAAAGAGTATGTGCAGAAATAAGGAACCTTTTTTCTAAGCGTACTTGCATTTACATTTGTATTTATTTATAAGAATAAGAATATCAGAAGAGCCCTGCTGGATCAGACCAAGGGTCCATCTAGTCCAGCATCTTGTTTCACACAGTGGCCAATCAGTTCCTTTGGATGGCTAACAACAGGGCATAGAAGCCAAGACCTTCAGAAGAACTTGGGAAGAGCCCTGCTGGATCAGACCAGTGGTCCATCTAGTCCAGCATCCTGCCTCACACAGTGGCCAACCAGTTCCTCTGGATGGCCAAAAACAGGGCAGAGAGGCCTCGGCCTTCCCCTGATGTTGACAAGATGGGTAGAAAAACTCCTGAGTGTCAGAAATAATATGTAACAGAGGCCTGAAAATCATTATGGAATATATAGGAAGGAATAATGAAGGTGTATATATGATTCAAAAATTGCAAAAATATGGGAAAAGATTATTGTAATTCCGTAATTACAGAGAACAATAGCAATGACTAAGAACACTATCAAGGAGTATTTTTTACAATACTAACTATGACAATTATATAGGATATAACTATAATAACATATCCAAAACAGTTGGCAGTGGGAAATTATTGCCATTAGACGTATCCTATAAGATATTCTTGAGCTGCAAAAGACACACAGCAAGACAGGATGCCGGCAATAGTCTTCTCTTCAAGACAATTCTTACCAGGCATCAAAACTGTTAGTTTGGCTGCCTCGGCCGACCTGCAAAGTCCAGGTTAACCAAAAGCCTAAAATTAGGGAGGAGGACCTCTCCATGCATGTGGAGAGGGGCTGTGGCTTAGTAGGAAAGCATCTGCTTGGCACGCAGAAGGTCCCAGGTTCAGTTCGGTGTAGTGGTTAAGACTGGAGTGCGGACTCTAATTCTGGGAGCTGCTGGTGTGGCCTTGGGTCAGTCACAAGTTTTTTCAGAGCTGTTCTCTCAAGGGCAGTTCTCAAGAGAGCTCTCTCAGCCCCGCCTACCTCACAGGTTGTCTGTTGTGGGGAGGGGAAGGGACAGGAGATTGTAAGCCGCTCTGAGACACCTTTGGGTAGTGAAGGGCAGGGTATAAATCCAATCTCTTCAACTTCTTCAATCCCCAGCATCTCCAGTTAAAGAGGACTAGGCAGTAGGTGGTGTGAAAGACCTCCACCTGAAAACCTGGAGAGCCGCTGCCAGTCTAAGCAGACGATATTGACACGGATAGACCAGTGGTCTGATTCAGTATAAGGCAGCTCCATCTGTTCCCTGCACGTACCTTGCTATTTGGGATGGGTTGTAGCTCAGTGGAAAAGCATCTGCTTGGCATTCCTAAGGTCCCCGGTATCTCCAGTTAAAAAGCACCAGGTTGTAGGTGATGCTCACAACCTCTCCCTGGGACCCTGGAGAGCCTCTGCCAGTCAGAGTGGGCAACGGCCTGACTCAATATAAGGCAGCTTCCTGTGTCTACAGAGGTGCTAGGGGCCGTCAGCTGCACTCACCCGCATGGGCCTGTCTGATACTGAAATAAGATCTTTTGTGCCTTTCAGATGTAGACAGGCGCACTGGCCAGGAGCACAGCTGCTGCTGTCAGATCCAGCTGGCCCGCGATTTGAGTAGCATGTTATCCTTCTCTGCAGGGGTCATTTCGCAGAAAAAGAGGTGCAGGAGCTCATTAGCACAACTCATTTGCATAACTCATTTGCATATGCCACGCCCCCTGACATCACCGGGAGTGTGTCAGAAGGCAACACCCACCGCTCAGGCACCACTGGACTGTTTTGGATTGCTAGCTATTGAGGGGGGGGGATGTGCAGATCTCTCCTCGCAGAGGAGGGAAAGCTTGTACCTGAATAAAACTTGGTCTTAAAGGTGCCACTGGACTGTTTTGGGCCAGGGGGAGCTCTGCAACTTACCTGGCTGCTTCTTGCTCTGACTGAGGGCTGCTGGGAGCAGGGGGTGGGGCTTGTTGCCTGTGCCCGCCCCCTGGGCTCTTTAATGCCGCAGCTCCGCTCCTGTGCGCTCCTGCAGGAAGTGACCCCTGCTTCTCTGAGATGTCTACAGGCGTTTCTCATCGAATTCAACCTTCTTTTTCATCCAGGTGTCTCCCCCGCCCCATTCTGCACTAAAATTGAGTTCAACCTTCTTTTTATTCTGGGTTTTCTCCTCATTCTGCATTCCCTTACCTCCCTTCAGTGGTCAGCCCAGTTTCAGCCTGCTGTTGCCCTGGGTTATTTGGATGCTCTTTTGCTGTGGACTTAACTTGCCTCGACTGGAACACTGAGAAGTTCTGGAGTGGCAGGCAAATGTGGAAAGGGCCACTGTTGGAAGGCGGGGGGGCGGGGAGGGGAGGTCATGCTTCCCGGGGAAGCAGTACAAGATAATTTGCGGCGACTCTTCTCACGATCCCGGTGGTCAGAGGATTACCTGAAGTCTTGGATTCCACGTTTTCCAGTTCTTCCCCAGGAATCTGCAGGCCGGCACCCTGAGTCAGGAATAACTTTCTAGAAAATTAAAGGGAGAAAAAAGCATTGTCATATCTCGTGAGAAAAGAACACTAGCGTCGTATCACTGGTTTGTGCCTAATTTGCTGCTGGAATTAATCCTGAATGTACCTTTACTTCTGCAGGTTTACTGAGCAGCAGTGGTATACTGCTTTAAAGTTTGGAATGAGCTGATGTCGAGATACTTGGTGAAGAGGAAGAGGAGGAGGAAGGAGGAAGAGATTGGATTCATACCCTGCCCTTCACTACTCAAAGGTGTCTCAGAGTGGCTTACAAACTCCTTTCCCTGCCCCTCCCCACAACAGACACCCTGTGAGGTAGGTGGGGCTGAGAGAGCTCTCTCGAGAACTACCCGTGAGAGAACAGCTCTGAAATAACTTGTGACTGACCCAAGGTCACACCAGCAGCTGCATGTGGAGGAGTGGGGAATCAAACCCGGTTTTCCCAGATTAGAGTCCGCGCTCCTAACTGCTACCCCAAACTGGCTCTCTTAAAGGTCTTAAAGGTGCCACTGGACCCAAACTTTGTTCTCTCTATTTACCTAGGTACTCTAAGGTAGTGCAGTCTACGATCATAGAGCTTCTTGATGAGATAGATATTCTCCTCCTCCAGGGCATGGGCAGTGGCTTCCATTTCGTCCACCTCCTTCCTGTAAAGGGCAACCTGCCAAGAAAGATGAGACTCTGCTGGGAAGCTCTCATTTAACAACATCTTATCCATCGTGCCACTCTCGGTCCCCCACTGTTATCGACACTGACCAGTCTCCGACAGAAGAACTTCTGTGTGCAAAGCAGATACTTCTAGCACTGGCTGCTCCCTCGCCCTCGCCCGGTGAGCGTAGCGAATGGGTCTTAACAGTCGTTGCCATCCTCGGACTTCTTTCATTAGACAAAAGGTCCAACCTCGGGCGGGCAGATGGGGGTAGCTTCCAGCAGCGTTTCCCAGCCTGTGTGTCCCAACTCAAAAGTGGGTCAGGAAGCCGGTGAAGACGGCTAATGGACCTTTTCAGTTTATATTGATTTGTGCACATTCTTTTTTTTTTGGTCTCCAAGTGGGTCGCTATACCAAGCAGATTTGGAAATGTGGGTTACTGTACTAGAAAGTTTATATACAAAGTTTTAGAAGTTATGTCATTGTTATATTGTTCTGTCATTGTAACGGCCTATGACTAAAGGCAATAAACTGAAACCTGAACCTAGAAACGTTAGGGAAGACCTTTAGCATTTAGTGCAAGGGATGGGATTTAAGAACATAAGAGAACAGAAGAGAAGCCAATGCTGAATCAAGCCAATGGCCCATCCAGTCCAACACTCTGTGTCACACAGTGGCCAAAAATACCAGGTGCCCTCAGGAGGTCCAGCAGTGGGGCCAGGACACTAGAAGCTCTCCCACTGTTGCCGCCCCCCCAAGCACCAAGGATATACAGAGCATCCCTTGCCCCAGCCTGAGAGTCCCTATCTATACCTTGTGGCTAATAGCCACTGATGGACCTCTGCTCCATATGTTTATCCAATTCCCTCTTGAAGCTGTCCATGCTTGTAGCCGCCACCACCTCCTGTGGCAGTGAATTCCATGTGTTAATCACTCTTTCGGATTTCTGTTACAGACATTTTGATGCACTTATGCATTTCCATTTATTTATTTATATCCTGCTTTTCTCCCCGGCCAGGACTCAAAGTGGCTCTTAGAGCATTCTTCTCCCCTCCTCCGTTCTCCCACAACAATCACCCTGTGAGGTTGAAGCAGTCTCATTTGGTCTTAGTAAGACTACTATCATATTTGGATGTCAAGTTAAACCTTATAAGAACATAAGAAAAGCTCCGCTGGATCAGACCAGTGGTCCATCTAGTCCAGCATCCTGTCTCACACCATGGACAAGCAGTTCCTCTGGATGGCCAACAACAGGGCACGGAGGCCAAGACCTTCCACTGATGTTGCCTCCTGGCTCCGGGATTCAGAAGCTTAGTGCCTCTGAATGTGGAGGTTCCCTTCAGTCAACATGGCTAGTAGCCATTGATAGTCTTATCCTCCATGAATCTATCTAAACCCCCTTTCAAGCTGTTTATTCCTGTGGCCATCACTGCATCCTCTGGCAGCGAATTCCACATTTTAATAACTCTCTCTGTAAAGTAGTGTATAGAAAAATTGCTTTCTGCTTTCTATATCCACATGCCTTCTCCTGTGATGTCTTTTTGATAACATGCTATGTCTTGTTTCCTGTTGCAAGCCAAATGGTGGGGGGCACATGACCTCAATAGCCATGCCATAAACCCACATTCTTTCACACACCCATGCCAAACGCCAGACCTCATGGCACCACTTTCTGGCCCACATGCGACTAGGCACGTACACGATGGAGAAGCTGTGAAGTTTGGGTCACCTGACTGCAGGAAGGGCCTCCAAACTTCTAGCCATTCCTGTGTTGCAGCTATGGCAACCAACAATTTTTTTATTTGATTTATTTATTTATCATTTGATTTATATACCGCCCTAACCCCCCCCCCATGGGGGTCTCTGGGCAGTTTACAGTTTGTAGTGCTAGTCACTTTGTAATTCCCTAACTATGGGCACATTCTCAGGGGTTGGGTCAGCCTACCTAGCACCCCGGTGGTGGCAGCTCTCCCTTCTGGCCTCCGGCCTCCGGCTTCCTTGGCTCTCAGCTGTCTTCCTTCGGTCAGCAGGAGGTCTCTCTCGTGGCGCTTCTCCGGCGAGGCAGCTTTCTCGGCGTGTTGATTCGTCTCTCCCGGCCTTGGCTCTGTCCAGTAGGTTCCGCCGCGCCGGGAGATGACGTCTTCCGCGCCTTCTGCTGCTAGCGACGGCCGCTGTCTGCTGTATCTCCGCAGGCCACCAGGGGTCACTCTACTGGCTTCGTCGTTGCACCACGCCACCTCGTCTCTGCTGCCAGGATTCCGCCGTTGCCGTTGCCGCCATCATCGCTGTTTCTTTGCCACCGCCGCACACCACACTCCTCAGGATGAGGGGGCGCCCCCTACCCTACTAAGGGTAGGTCCCCATTTATCTACTCGCCCTTTAACGGGCTTTTGAACCGCTGGGTGGGCGGGAGCTGGGACGTAAGCCGGGAGCTCACTCCGGCCACGGTGGGGCTCGAACAGATGTTCGGCCAGATGTTAAAGCAGGCTGCATTTACAGCCTGCGCCACCGCTCCCTGTCCACTCATGATTGGCTGATGGCCACAGCTGATTGCGATTAGATTGGGCTATAATTGCTTTGGTCCCTCTGGGAGTAGTAGCTTAGCTCTGGTTGCTCTCTTGTTTAGCCCTTCCTTCTCTGTCAGTTTGTTTTATTGCACCTGGAAATGCTGCCTCGTGAGAGACAAAGAGTTGCTTTGTGAACTGGAGCACATGGGTGCAAGGATGGGATTTCTCCTTAAAATCCCTTGGTGCTACCTGGATTATCACCATGGACAATCTTGAACTCTTGGATGCTATCCTGATGTGGTAACTATGAGTCATTAATGTTTAGTTAAGGCAAACAGCCCTAGCCTTTGTTATTTTTGAAATCTCTGATAGTCTGTTGCTGTGCTCTGTACTGAATAAAGATCCTTTTGTTGTTAAACTATGCGCTACCATTGGAGAGTAAAAGTGTGCATCTCTGGAGTGAGTTGCTAAGGTGTTCTGTCCCAGATGCCAACTAAGGGTTTGGAATCTCTCCCTTAGGAAAGGCAGGGACTATTGAAAAGAGGTTCTGGTGGCACATTGTTCTGAAACCAGAGAGGGTATAGACCATCTCGTGGTTTGTTCTTTAATGTACTGTAAAAGTACAGGGTTCCCTCCCATCCCTGGACTGGACTGGGTGGGCTAATACCTGTACAAGTAGTATTTCCTTTTGTCCATCCTGAACCTACTGCCCATTAACAATGTGCTATCAAACACATTATAGCATATTAATCGTTGCCAACATCATGTGTGCATTAGGTGCCGTCAAGTCATTTCCTGCTTAGAGGAACCCTATCGATTAACGACTTCCAAAACATCTTATCCTTAACATCCTTGCTCAAGTCTTGCAAACCGAGAGCCGTGGCTTCCTTGATGGAGTCCATCCATCTCATGTCAGGTCATCTTCTTTTCCTCCTGCCTTCAGTTTCCCCTCTCACACTTACCTCTTCTTTCAGCCATTCATATTCTTTAATCTCCCGGCAGCTGATGCTGTCAATGTGCTTCACGGCATTCTGAGGAAATAAAAGAGGATATCCTGGCTGAAGTGGAAACCCTTTGACTTGAAGGATTGATGAGGCAAGAGAATCTCATGCCCGCCATAGGCTCTGAGTCAGTTGGTAACCTTGAACCAAACTCCTTTTTGTTACTTAAAACATTTTAATGCCATTGATGTTGCACAAGAACAGTCTGGCAGCTTATAACGGCATGTCGCATTTTAAAAATTGTGGGGGGTAAAAAATAAAGTGCTAGTACTTATATATATAAGGAGCTACGGTGGCTCAAGTGGTTAAGACGCTGAACTGCAGGCTGTGGAAGGTCGGTAGTTCAGCAGTTCGAGACCTGAGTGTGCCGCATGACGGCGTGAGCTCCCGTCTCTAGTTCCAGCTCCTGCCAACCTAGCAGTCCGAAAGCAAGAAATTGCAAGTAGATAATTAGGTACCACTTCAGTGGGAAGGTAACAGCGTTCCGTGCGCCTTGGTGTTTAGTCATGCCGGCCACATGACCACGGAAACGTCTTCGGACAGCGCTGGCTCTTCGGCTTTGAAACGGAGATGAGCACCGCAACTCTAGAGTTGGATTCGACTGGCTTTCGAGCAAGGGAACCTTTACCTTTATCTTACTTATATATATAAGGTTGTACCAATTTCCACCAATTCCTTCTGTTCTAATATAAACCAGCAAGACGCTCTCTGCGCTAATATAAGCTGGCAAGATGTCTCCTCGGCTTATATTAGCACAGACGGCTTTGCACCTGATAACAAAAGACTAAAAGACTGGTTTGCTTCATAGGTAAATGATGAGTTATAAACATTAGGAGGATAACTTCGGTTCTAAGAAAGATCCATTAAGAATAACTTGAAGAAGATCCACTATGAAACGGGCTTACATCCGGATGCTTGTCTAAAGTTTATTATAGAAGCTGTTCTGCAGTAATACAAGGCTGGGACTTTTCTGTATTTGTGTTACTCGATCACATTAAGAGTTGTGATAATCTTGTCATCGATTCAACATGTAAGAACTATACAGTTGTCAATCATAAATTATAGTAGCCACAAATCACAGAGAATGTTTGTTCCTGGTGCTTTACACTGTGATCCTGGTTTGTTTTGCCACAGCTTAACTTGGGTAACACAGTGCAGATCCTCATGCTGTGGTGGCAGCTGCTGCCAAAGCAATGTTTTAAGAAATCTGCCCAGCCAATCAACTCTCCAATAGTCAGTCAGAAGCCTTGCGGGGCAAAAGTCTCACTCACTTCCTAAAACACTTGGCAGGTGCCAGGAAGGGTGCGGTGGGTGCCATGGAGCCCGTGGGCACTGCATTTGGGGACCCCTGACCTAGATGGACCAGTGCTCCAAGTCACTATGGACTACATAAGGAGACTGCCATTCCTGTTTTTTTTTCCTGCTTTACATGGGGAATCCAAGAAGTTCCGAGGCAAAGTGAAAGCGGCTTTCTCTTTCCATATCCTGCTCCTAACAGGAACTAGAGTCAGTGCTGCCCATAATTCAGAGAAAGACCAAGATTTCAAAGCTAAAAACATACCTCAGTGGCCCATTCTTTCTTTAGCTCCATTTGCTTCAGTGTGTATTTGTCAATTTTTTGCTTTGTTTCTTCCAGAGCAAGTCTAAAATATTCTTTTGGGGGGGTGGAAATAACCATTGGGGGAAGGTACAAAGGAAGATCTATAATTATTTCTTGTTTTATGGCACATTCAAATAAAGATCAATTAATGCAGTCATAAATAAAGTTTTTTACACAGCTGTTGTACCATAACAATATTGGCTTTTGGGAAGTTTTTGCTGCTGTATCATACAATGCCAGTTTTTTCAGTAATGAGAATACAGCCTTATCTTAATAATGTAATGATCATATCTGTTCTCCCTTCCGGGATTGTGTGCCATTAGTGTTGCAGAGTTTAACTTAAAGGACCGCCTCCTCCCACATTGTCATGCCCACCAGTTAAGATCTGCTTCACAAGCCTTCACATTTTCTTTGTATTCTTGCTCAGCCTGATGCTTGAACACAGCATGTGCACTCTTTTAATTTTTTGTTTACTGAAGTTCCTTGTATTTTGAATTCTCCAAGCCTGATCTCTCTAAACACACCATGTCTATTTGGTCTTATAGGGCTGTCAAGCCCCCAGGGAGGGGCAGAGGATCTGATGCGCCCAGCTCCTGTTACCTGCCACTGCTCTGAGTGGTGACAGGAGATTTTTTTTTCTTTTTAAGACAAAAGCAGTGTTATGTATGGCACTACATCACTTTTGGTAAAAAGCCAGAAGTGACAAGATAGCACTATGCATTGGCAGAAACACTATAGTTTTACTATAGAGTTACTAGCATTTCCTAGGGCTTCCCCATGTCTTTCCCAGGACTTTACTGGAAGGTATTTCCAAATCCAGAGCTGGAAACCTTAGGAGATACTGTCAAATTTTCTGGTGGCAGCAGTTACTAACAAGAGAGGTTGGGTTCCTCCCAGGAGTAAAGCAAAGGGGCGGCTGAGCAAAGATTCAGGACAGCTGCAGGGCCTTTTCAAGCTCCTTGACTGAAGAGGAAATGGGGCTTCCAAGTCCATTCCTCCACATGGGTTTTTTTGTAGTGGAAGCCCGCCTATGGAATGCCTTTCCCTTTGACGCTTGCCTGGCACCCACATTACTTTTTTTAAGGCACCAGGCCAAAATCCTTCTGTTCACCCAGGCTTTTAATTAAGGGGTTGGTCTTTTAAGACCATCTGAATAGTGTTCTTTTAGTCTGGAAGCTGTTACTCATTCTAAGCCCACTCAATGATCTATGCTTTTGTGTTCTGGCTAGGTGGGGGAGGTATTAGCCGGCAAACGGAATGTCCAGCTCGTAAGATTGGAAGCCTAGAAAGATCTCTTTGGCATCAAGAAGCCTGTAATGGGCCGTTCCGGCCAGGCGGTGGCAGCATGGCGTTGTGACTCAAAGCAGTCCTGGGGTACTGAAGAAAGCTGACGTCATCAAGCCAAGCTGAGGAAATATGCCGTCTGGAACATGTCTAGTCTACAGCTGAAACAAAATCCCCGTCGGCTCCAAACGTGTGCAATTTAAAAGATTTATATGTCCTCCCTTACCCCTATGAATCATTGTTAGTTCCTTGTGAAATGTGTAACTGTAAATCGCTCAGAGCCAGCAGCTCTGCAGGATTGAGCGATTAATAAATTGAAAGATTTATTATTACTACTACTACTACTACTACTACTTATTATGCCTTATTTTGTAAGCTGCCTTTGGCAGATTTCGTAAAGAAGCAGCATAAAAATTATCTAGATAAATTCACTCTGCGACATTTTAAACGGAATTAGCAACTTAGAGGAGATGCTGGTCCAAATGAGAATCCTTTTAAAATCTGATGCTTTGCAGTGCCGTGTGCGGCTAACAATGAAGACAACAGAGACCTTTGTCAGCTCCAGAACAGGGTTCTGGGCTGAACAGGGTTCAGACTAGCAAACTCAGGGAAGACAAAGAAGAGGCTTGAATGAGTCTTGCCAATTTCCACTTGGGTTGGGTTGCCAACCTCCATGGGGGACCTGGAGATCTGAAAAGAAGTATAAAGACAACAGTCGTGAGAGTCTGACCCACAAATCAAGCAGTCACCAAGACATGCAAAGAAAAAGCTTCCTATGTATTACAGTCTAAAGCACTACAACATCATTAATAAATCATAAGAAAATCCATGTGCATAGGTACATCATCAATGTCGTCTCCGGATTATATAACAACGTTTCAAAATTGGATCTTCCTCAGGAGATATTAAGGTAAAGGTAAAGGTTCCCTTGCTCGAAAGCCAGTCGAATCCGACTCTAGGGTTGCGGTGCTCATCTCCGTTTCAAAGCCAAAGAGCCAGCGCTGTCCGAAGACGTTTCCGTGGTCATGTGGCCGGCATGACTAAACACCAAGGCGCACGGAACGCTGTTCCCTTCCCACCGAAGTGGTACCTGTTTACCTACTTGCAATTTCTTGCTTTCGAACTGCTAGGTTGGCAGGAGCTGGAACTAGAGACGGGAGCTCACTCCGTCATGCGGCACCCGGGTCTCGAACTGCAACTACCAACCTTTCACAGCCTGCAGTTCAGCGTCTTAACCACTTGAGCCACCGCAGCTCAAGTGAGACTTTGGAGGGCTAACGGTATGGCAGGAGCTGGAACTAGAGACGGGAGCTCACTCCGTCATGCGGCACACTCGGGTCTCGAACTGCTGAACTACCAACCTTCCACAGCCTGCAGTTCAGTGTCTTAACCACTTGAGCCACCGCAGCTCAATATCAGGAGATATTAGAGTAGTACAACAGCTCTCAGTTACATAAATTGCTTGTTCAGGTTCAAATATGCTGCTAAGCTTCTAATGGATCCCGGGCGTCCGTTAGAAGCTTACCAGCATATTTGAGCCTGAACATTTACTGAGATCAGTGTCCTATCTGAATGTAGTATTCCTTATGACTTGTTGTCGAGCTCTTTGTGTAACAGAGAGCTTTTGTACTACTCTAATGATGTTGTAGTGCTTTAGATTGTAATACATAGGAAGCTTTTTCTTTGCAAGTCCTGGTGACTGCTTGATTTGTGGGTCAGACTCCCACGACTGTTGTCTTTATACTTATTTTCGGATTGGGTCGTGTTTGTCCATATTCATCTTGGACCTGGAGATCTCCCAGAATCACTCCAGGCAACAGAGATCCGTTCCCCTGGAGAAAATGGCTGCTTTGGAGGGTGAACAGTATGGCCTTATACTCTGCTGAGGCCCCTCCCCCCCAAACCCCGCCCTCCTCAGGCTCCACCCCCAAATATCCAGCTATATCCCACCTAGAGCTGGCCAGCAATTCCCATTCAGCAGTTCTTCAAACAGACTCTACAGAGACTTTGCAGCAAACTTTGCTGCCTGGCACTGCCAGGTGCTTTGGCCAGAGAAACTAGGAAGCAGGTAAGGAGGAAGAAGAAAAAAAGAAGAAAGGGAGGATAACCGTGGGTGCTAAAAATTTAGAATGGCATAGCCATGAAGTAGTTTCTAGAACCTTTAGAGATAAAATTAGATGCCATGGAAACGCTTGCTTTGTCATTCAGTTTTGTATTCCATCATTAACTGGGCGTCGTATACTGTATGATTCCACCCCCCTTTTCTGGGCTCCGCAATCTGCACTGAGAGAGCTGTGAGTTAAATAAATAAAAGTCAACAACTTTCCAAAAGGGTTCGATTTCAACCCTTTAAAAAAAAAATTTAACCTTCAAAATCCAACCACAATTCAGAGTTTTCTTAAATATCAAGCTCTAGCTATAGACAATAGCTTTTTCAGAGATTTGAAGGTGCCTCACTTCTCATGGGCTCTGTAGATTAACCCACTTTTTGCTTCTAGTCTAAACAGGTTGAGCAGGTTTTTAAATATTATTTTAGAAACCTGCAAGACCTGTATGACCAGCGGTATCAAGTGGGACAAAAGAAATGTACACGTATACTTTGGGAAGGAATGTTACCATGTGTGCTTTAAAAGTATTATTTGTGCTGTGCTGATGCTGTGTGTCTGCAAAATGTCTTTGCATTGGTGTATGTGGAATGTGGGGAATGCTGTGCCTTGGATTTGCTTGCTTTGCATCTCATGCTTGCACCTGGAAGCTGCCAGGAGCAGAGCTTGTGCTGCCTATGCTAATGGACATGTGCGTACCCACACCTTCCCAGCCTTGCCTTGGAACAAAGAAGACCTTCGCCATTAAGCTCAGCCTGGAGACTTGGAAAAACAACAGGTCTCCCACCATTACAGATCTCCTGGAATAACACGTAACCCCACTATCTGGTTTGGAATCACACAAGGACCACATCCTGTTATTGCCTTCGTGGACATCTGCAAGTCAAAGGTTGCTATGGGAATACAACTTTGACACCTTGCCACATGACTCCCCATTGAAGTTAGGCTTAGAATTTGAATATCGCCCCACTCCCCTCTAGGTAAAGCGTCACAACCCTCCAACCTATAGGTATAGAGAAGGGGACGGATTTCAGGTGTAGATTGGCCTTATGCCAACCCCCAAAACTAGGTTTTAAAAGGAGAAACACAGCCTTTGTTTCTCTGGTTAACCCATCCTTCCCAATACCTTCACCTTTGCAACTTAAGTATACTGCAGGTGATTCTAAAGGAGCTCTCTGGAGTCGCGACCAGAGAGCCCACGCGTGTTTGGCAGGACCATTCCGTGTGTTTATAGAGTCCCTAAAGTTAATACTTTTGTCCCCATTCGCGTTGCTGAGAAGAATTCCTTCTCGACTGGAACTCAGATAAGTATAAACGCTACCCTTCTGTGTCGTACCCCATTGTTGGTTTGAGTTATTATTTTCATTACTATTTGTTTTCTGTACCTACTGTGTACTAAAGAAACTTGAATGAATCTGTGAATGGATCGGTTTTCGTGTGCTTGAGAACCAATTAGTAAACATTTATTCATTAAACCTTAGTGTGTTGTCTCAATTCCTGAGAAATAGGAGCATTCATTTTGAATCTGCCCTCTGTATACACGGGTAATTACTCACGCATGCCCACTGCCATACATAAGACAGAGTTGGGCCACGGAACCATCTCGTTAGGAGGA